AAATTGCAGATGTCAGAGCGGTAATTCCTAGTTAGTATATTGACTTTAATTAAGTAAAACAAAGGGCAGGCAATTAGAGTAATAGCCTCAACCCTGACCGAGTCTAGAAAACAAGTCTCTGTGTTTTTTCTTTGTGTTACGTCTATATCAAATCTCACTCTATAGACTCAATAACTAGTTTTGCTTCAATATGTAAACACATTTTGATTTTCTTTCTCCTCAAAATTTAATTCCATTTTTTTCTGCTTAGATTACATAGATCTCACTTAATCTTGACACAGGTCAGTTGCAATTTCTCTGTTGGTTTCCTATTACCCTCGCCCCAGAACCGTTCACCTGCCTGATACTCTGCAAAACTACCCATCAGGGCAAGATCTGAATAAAAGAGGCAGAGAGAATAAAAGCAACAAGAGGGTGATATTCTCTATGAAAAAATAACTTCCATGTTATAATTCTAAAGCAGAGGCTTTAAAAAGGATCTTTACATAAAGCTTTGATTAGAAAAATAATTTAAATGTGAACAGATGGACTGCAGGGGTAAAGCAGGAAAGGTTCACTGCTGTCGGTTCCTCAAAATAAAATCAACATGCAACATGGTTTTGATAAAATATCACAGTTGCCAGTCCTTTGGCAACTGGTTTTCTAAACAACACATAGCAGAACTGATCTGTATGTCTGAAGGGCACTTCATAGAGTAACAGATAGAAAATATGATTACGCACTGGGAAGAATAGGGATTACTCCATGAATTAGAATGATAATGGAGTCAAAAGGAGATGAAGGGTGATCTGCTGAAGAGGCAAGAGCTTCTAGCAGGTTTTTCAAGCATTGATCTGGGACTACTTTTGTGAAATAGCTTTATTTGTTGCCTGGACACAAATTATAGAAGGTGTTACAGAAATTTGCTGATAGCACTAAATTAGAGATGAATGAAAAGGAACAGAATGGCAGAACTAAGAATATGTGCAGTGTAAAGAACATGAATATCCACAGCACAAAGTATTAGGAGCAGTAGTTCCAGTAGAAAGAGGACAAAGAGTGTTGCTATTGCATGAAGTCCATACAGGGACTGACAAGAGTAGGGACCATTTGATCACCTGTTTTCAAAAGAAGATGAACTAAGATCAGCCAGGGGAGTACTTGACACCAGAATGCCGAAATGGAGAGCCACCAAGAGGCCCTGAGAGCTTGACTAATTCAATCTCACAAAAACCCCACGTTGGTAAGTGATGGTTACTTATGTACTTGGGCAATGGTAGTGTCATGCAGAGGTAAGTCTTAGGGTTAGTGGAAACGCCAAGAACACATCCATGTAAAACAAACATCAATTAAATTTAGACTCTAAAAGAGGTTCCTAGCCAAGCAGATGCAGTTAGGACAGCCTCCTAGGTGTAGCATACCAGTTGGCTTCAAGACTGGCTGATACACATGACTTTATACAACCTGGCTGACTGCAAGAGGAATGTTCAATGCAGGGAAGCAAGACCAATCCTCTGGCCCTGTGGTCCTCTGTGCAGAGGCTTCCACAAGCTTGACACACAACCCGTGCTCCTCATTATCCACACAGCTCCTTTATTTGTTAACCCTTGTTTTTGCCTTCCTCTGAATTCCACCTGAGATCAGCTGAAATGGACTTCCAGCTATCTCAGTAAAAAAAATTACTGATAGCGTAGCAATGGTTTGGTTTCAAAAAAAGTACAGATGGATCTTGCTTCTTGCCCATTCTCTGATTCCTGCCACCAGATGTCATTCATTCACAGCAAGGAATATTAGCAAAAAAGTCAAGACAGTAGCCTATGAAGAGGAACCTTATTTCACACATCAGAGCTTGTAAGACAACTTGAATCGATTATCTCCCAGTTGTTTGTAGCTTAAAAAGAAAGAAGGAACAAGACATCTTAATTACTGTTTGTCCTTTCATAACATCAGTCTTGTCACCATAGGGAGGAGATAGTTACTTACACAGAATGTGCTTCTGAATAGTGGTGCTTCAGGTATTCCAGGATATTTCTGTAGAGATTCCTGAAATTAAAACTCAAGGAATGCAAAAGCAAATGAATGTTTCAATTCTTCAGCCCTTGGGCTTTGCAGTAGCGATTGTTGCTCTAAAACACCTATCACGCTGTTCATTAGCTAGACTGTTACCAAAATGCCTTGTTCAATCAGCCCTTCCATCTTCTACTCTTATTTCAATTCAGATGAAGTTCCAGGCAGGAACCAAGTTCTTGGGGAAAAGTTTGTATTCAAACAAGCAAGTGAGCAAAAAAAGCAGAGCTCACACAATCCTACAGCACTCCAGATAGGTATCAGCTACAACCCTCAGCTGCACTGCCAGCATTTTTAGCTGATTTCCAGCTGATATTCACCAAACTCAAATTTCAGCATGTGAAAATCAAACAGAAGTCTAATATCACAGCTAGAGTAGTCAGGTGCAGGAAGTTTTTAAATGCTTTATGCACCAATTTGTTAGAACAATAGGTTAGGTGTGCTTTTACCAACACAAACCTTTAATTCACATGCAGGTCATGCACACTTGTTCCTGCACTGTGTGGGCATCACCATTTACATTTCTAGTTAAGGGATGTCAAGAGGACAGCTGCCTCCCGCAGCACATACACACATGTAAGTCCCCTTGAGCACGGGCAAGGCCTCTCTGTCCCCCTGCACCCCTGCCCAGACCCCAACCCTCTGACCTCCTCCAGGTCTTCCCCTGCTTTCCAGCCAGTCCAGATCGGCGCTCTCTGCAAACACACAGCACTCACATGTACATCCCATGTGCACCCCACACTCATGGTTCCCCCGAAAACCAGCACAGACCCTCTGCCCGCCTGACACCCCTGCCCAGTCCTGGGGCCTCCTACTCACACGCTGGTCCAGCTTGACTTTTGATGGTGAAGATGCACGCACACCCCAGCTGGTGTTGGAACCATCCCACTGACCCCCTGCGGCATCCTGGACACTCAAGCTTCCATCCTTGCCAGTTGCAAAGCCCCGGTTTGCTGCAGTTTCCTGAGAGCCCATCCACTACTGTGACTGACCAGGTCTGTTTGTTTTCCTTCTGTCTGCCACATTTGCATCCGACTAGTTTTCATTCCTGACTTTCCCCTTTTCCTTAATATCCCATTTCACAAGGCCCTTGATCAGGTAACGTCTCCAAAATGAACATCACCACATTCCACATGCCCTTACCAATTAATGTGATGAACCATATCTGGTTCGTATTACTGTCTCTCTTACCATCTGTCAATCAAGTTTGTGTCATTGCAAGTTGTCCCTCTTTGCTTATTATCCCCTTCCTTATCTAAAATGTTCTTGACCAGAAATGCTTCAAGGAGCAGCAGTTGTCTCCTTCCACACACCCTTGCAAACACTTTTACCTTTTCTTGAAATTCACTACAAATGTCCCTATTCCTTTACCTGTCTAAAGAGCAGCAAAGGGAAAACTTGGAATTGGAAGAAAATGAGGGACGCTTCTACCTTGGTCAGTGACTGCTTTAACAAACATCCCTCTAGTTGTTGCATCAAGGATCACAGATAATAAGCAGATAGTTTTAATTAGCAGCCATATCTTGTCTGTCACTGTAGGTTTCCAATAACATTTAACTGTCCACCTACCCAACCTTTCAGTGAGTGAGCCTCAGGATTTAGGTCAGGGACAATAATGTGGGATTTACATACAGCATATGCCTCAGTTGCCTTCCTGTACATTAATAAAATCTGCATTGTCAACTTGTCTAGATATTACTGGACATCTTTGCATAGAGAAAAGCTTCAGTGTATGTCTTCCCACTGCTGCTGCTTGGATTTACCCTGGTGTGGTTGCTCCTGAAGCAAGGCTAAAGGCACAAACACTGCTATGCAACAGACAACACGAGTGCTTGGGAGACTTGGCATATCCTCCTTACACCCCAGACAACTCTTATGTGTACTTACTAGTTCTGTATATTTTAAATTTTATTTCTAGTGCTTGAGTTCTGCACCTAGCACTGTTAAAGGTGTCACTCTGAACTCCTTGTAGACAGTCAGGATGACGAATACCTTCTCCATTCGCAACAGTTCAAAGGTGCTATTGTTCTTAACACAGCGATCTGATGATCACTTAACACAAGAGCATCAGAAAGAACATCTGCTTGCTAAGCATCACTGAGGCTTAGTAACAAGATGCAGTGATGTTTTGTGTGGGATCATACTTTAAATCCTAGCACTCTTGCATTCAACTTACTGAAGATGGTCCTATTTTGTACAGCACTGAGTATCTGTATGCAACTATGTGCAACTCTGGGAACCACAGCTGTGGCTTAGTTAATGATCTCAATAAATTCTACTTAAGCAGAGACAAGAAAATAATTATGCAAATGACTATTTCTGTACCACATGTACTTGATAACTGAAGACACATCAAAATAAGCTTCAGCATATGAACACCAATACTTTTTTAGCCCACGTGTATGAAAAATGTGGAAGAGGGGGAAATGTGTAAAGAATTTTATTTCAGAAGAGTTGCAGTTGCAGAACATTTATTACAAACTTGATATTAAAGGAAACATACAGAAGGTATATGTACAAAGAGGGATCTTTAAAAGCCCAAGAAAGATTACAGATTTTTCAAATACAGCTGTGAATATGACAAAGAATTACTTTTCTGAACAGATCTTTCTAAACCCTTTATGATTAAAGCCTCAGTACAAACCTGCTGCTTTCTTGGTACATGCATCAGTCAGGCGCACTTTACAGCTAGATAAGATGTCTTCCATCAGTTTCTTGTAGACCCAGGTATCACCCTTAAGCTGTTGTCACCGGACACCGACTACTTCAGATTTAATGAGCTGACACACTTCTAACTCAAACTCCACAGTTACTTTGCCAAAATCTGACCATGTTTGACACTTCAGGGTGTAACTGTACAAAACAAAGGAAAAACAGAATAATCACTGAACTGTTTAATGTTTGTTTTGAAATGCAGTTTTGAATTAATAAAAGCACTTTACAGAAATTATCCTGTAGCCATTCAAAATATTGGGAAACAACTCAGAATTTAGTGAACTGAGAGCTTCAAATCTTTAGTCCCAGAACACCATCATTATGCCCAAGTACCAAGGTGTAGCACCAACGTACTACCAAGTCATAGGAACCACTGCTAGACACAGGGTGCAGAGGTGGAAGGATGGAGGTGTTCCAGCATTTTTCCTAGACAAGACCACTCTCCTCTTTCAAGGAACACCACTGCTGAGAGGCCTGTTACAGCTCAGCCTGTGTGAAAAGTGGAAAACCTGAATGTGAAGTTTAAATCATTACAGCAGGAGAAGGTGCAATTCAGTGTCCTTCCAGATTTTGAGCTTGGAAATGCACCACAGGTTGAGGTATACTCTGACATTCTACAATGGCTATCATTTAAATATTGAAGAACTTTAGAAAATGCATATTCATAAGTGAGCATATTTTTTATGCATTAGGAAATTAGGAAACAGACATCCATGGCTGCTCAGAACTAGAAGCCAGTCCTACTTTCAGAACCTTAGTCTAGTTAGTAAATCCTACAAAATAAAATACAAATCCTACAAATTAAAATGATCCACACAAAGGTGTGTGGACTGTACAGATTTTAAAATGTACTGATCTCTTGGCTAAATGCTCATGCCTTTTAACTGCCAAGAATGAGGGTTAAAAGGTATCCAAAATCATCTGATTTGGTAATGTGACTGCACCCTAACAAACCTTTTGTATTTACAATTTCAAAAGAGAGCGGCAAAATTCACATCAGCCTCTAAGAGCTACCTCACTATTATCGGTTCATATTTGTCAGTCAAAGAGCTCTATTTAGAGCTCACTTAACATTGTTCTGCATTGTGTAGACAAGTTTTATTGCACACATTCATTTAGTGCTCTGTACACTTTCTATAAAACTATTGTCTTTTACAATGTGAGGCTAATAAAGTAAGTTTAAACACTTTGCTTTATCAAGGATTGGAGTACTGACTATGTAGACAAATAGAAGTTGAAGCCACCATATTTTACACTTACCCCTTCTGAACATATTCCACATGTTTCTTTGAAAGAATAGCGATTATTTCATTCAATAGTTCGTCTGGATTCAGTAGCTGAGTTGTGGTAACATTATAGTGTGCCTAAAAGTAGTTAGCTCATTAAAAAAGTTAAAGAAAAAAAAATAGACTTTTTTCTCCTAAAACTGAAGACATTACAAAAAGTTTTCATAAAGAAAGCTTTGGAATAGCTAACCATAGTGACAAATGCTTCAACTTCCTAATATTATCATAAATAAGACATTGTAGTAGCAACAAGAACACTAAATAACAGCTGCTGGACAATTAATATTAAAGCACATCTAAACTACCATCCATCATAAAATCCAAAGTAGCAGTGATGGGCCAGGGCAGCACAGAGGCTATTAGAAGCCTTGTACGTAGCCAGAGGTGATTCCTGGAGAGGACTACAGAAGATAGCCACACAGCTGTGCTTAGAGGAACCTACTGTGTGCTCCACAGCTGGGCAATTGCTAATAGAGTGCTGCCTAGCTGAGACTCAGTGCTTCTGATATCAAGGAACAGGCATGGCGCCTTGATGCTTTTCTAGAACTAAAGCATTGCCATGTTTAAAGAAAGGAAAAAAAAAAAAGGTGACTTACTACTCATAAGTTTACTGTTATAGGGGGGTTTATATCACATCTAATACTTCATATAATGGACTTGTCCAATAAGTGACTTCTTGAACAACTTTCAGACACCCATATGTAACAGGAGATAAGTTATGCCAACTGTAATGTGCCGCAAACACTCTATCAAGTTTCTGAAGTCACAGAAGCAGATGAGAGAAGACAAAATCATAAAATAGCTTGAGAAATGAACACAGGTTGAGGATGCAAAGATTGGTTCTTATAGTTCTTACTCAGCCTAAAATATATACAACTCCCTGCCATAACTGCTGCTAATTCAGTGAAATAAAGTTCTATCTTCCCCTGTTGTTGGGGGATTGGACTAGATGATCTTTCGAGGTCCCTTCCAATCCCTATCATTCTGTGTGATTCTGTGTATTGTACTCCAGTGTCCTTAGACATGTATCAGTAATTTTGCATATACTATGGACAAGGGAGACTGCAGCAGAAGGATAAAAGCTTTTAGAGACAGAAGACCCAGCTTTTGTTTCCAATTGCTCATTTTCCTGAATTATTGCAGTCTGGCCTCTTCTCTGATGAGCTGGTCAGGTTTGCAGCCCAACATAAGTCCTGAACTTGTCAGACTGGCACCTTGCCTCTGACAAATGCATCTTGGAAAAGCTTCCAACTGAAATACAGTAGCTGAATTCCATTTACACAGGCTGCAAAACAGGTTAGGTGTCCTAACAGCTGCAGCTGCAGGAGCCAGTCAGCTGGAAGTATACCTCACTTATTTCTATGGAACTGTTTATGCCTCGGTAACAATAGCTTTGCCTCTGTCATGTTAATCATGTTTTTTCAAGTATATAATCTACAGATTTCAGTATCAATTCCTCCTTGTATAGCTTTTCAAGTATATTAGTTGCCTTTGAGTGATGTATACAGTTCTGTCCACTGTGCTAGTATTATGCCAATGCCATTTGATGCATCTTCTACAAAGCTAATACTAACCTCACAAGTCAATCGTGGTACGTACAAATTATTAATGTAATTTTAAAGTGTTCTGTGCAGTCCACTATATGAGGAACTGCTTTTTCTATGGCTACTTAAAAGAAGAATAAGTAGCCAACTACCTCCAATACAGTGACATTAAAACTTTAAAAATCAAAATTATGCTTAGATATTAGGAAAAAATTATTTACTGAAAGGGTTCTCAGGAAGTGGTTGAGTCCCCATCCCTGGAGGGATTTAAAAGAAGAGTAGATATGGTGCTTAGGGACATGGTTTAGTGGGCATGGTGGTGTTGGGTTGACAGCTGGACTTGATCTTAGAGGTCTTCTGCAACCTTAATGATTCTGTGATTCTAACAGTAACAGAAGTTCTTTCATAAGGTGTAATTATTTAGGCTTTAAGTTTACTCTCAGGTTGTCTTGACATCTAAAGACTATCCTGGAACAGACATATCATCCCTGGACTACAGAAACCTAAACCAGGATTGTTACTATTATTTATTTATTTATTTATTTATTTATTTATTTATTTTAGTGGGACAGCTAGCCGTATCTCTATACAAATAGCACAATTAAAAAATTTCAGCTAGGGTTCCTTTAAAACCATCATGCTTGCCTCACACTTGGTTCAGACAGGATATTAAAAGCCATTGCCAAACTCCTCCCGTGTTCTGTTGGTGATTTGCCTGAGCACAAAACTAACACGACATTTCTCAGCTGTGACTGGAACATTATCATGTTAACAGAGATGCAAGAAGTGCAACTCCACTTTACTGTATGATGCAGGCAAGTCAGAAGTTTTCACAACACCATTTCTAAAGGTTTTAGATGTTTTCAATAATTATACTTCTTGCCATGTAAGATTTTTCCAGCAATCATACCTTAAGTTTCCTTGGACAATCTCTAGTGGATCGCTTCTTCTTGCTTGGCGTAAGCATTGTGATCACTTTATCTAGGCCTCTTTCAAGACTTACAAATATTTAGGCTTTTCTCTTCTTTTGGCTGCTATCCATCTGAGCTAGGTTGAGATCCATTTCCAATGAATTACACATGTTACATGAACAAATTAATCAGTTATTTTTCCTCAGTGTTTAGAAATTAGTTATTTCAGATACGTCACTAAAATATTACCAGACCTGACAGAATTAAGAAAACCAAAGCAAGTGCAGTGTATTATGAGAGTTTTTGTTTGAAAGTCAGTTAAGATTTAAATCCAGAGATGTATATAGCAACTGCAGTCCTCTGGGGAACTGGAATAAAAAGGAACTTACTTCCATTATGGTAAATAGGAATATATTCTGAAGATAATTGAGTTACATAGTTTTAAAACTTTCCTCTGCCTTCAGTGTTTTCTAGCAAATATAGAAAGAGGTTTTAGGAAGGTTTTTACCAAGAGAATGGAAATAACAGCTTGCTGTTGTAACAAGGCTTCCTAGGCAGTACATGGATTAAGGTGGTCCTGCTGTAAATCAGAAGTTTACACAAATAACTGGACATTTACCTTACTTCAGGAAGAACCACCACTGCTGTCAATAAATCTGTATGTGTTGGGTTTGTGGGTTTCTTAATTGAGGTGACTGTAGTGAACTGGCTCTCTGAAAGAAAGCATGCAAGCCAAAGCAGGTATGTTTTTGCATAAAGGATTTTCTTCAGCAAGGATTTCTCATGATTAATAATTTATTTCTAAAACCAGCTCCCTTTTCTGTCTCAGGTCTGTATCTTCAGAATGATAAAATATGTTTTTAATATAATAACAATACTACCCCTACTCTACAAAGAAAAACTGCAACTGATTTCCCCAGGGCTCTACAAATCAATCCTTAGAGCAACCAATGCAGTTCAATACCAGAAGTTTGGAAAGCAAAAGGATTAGAATTGCTTTCTTGCTCTGTCACTGACCCCAGAATAAATACTAAAAAATTTATTGTGTCAAATAGCTGTGTTCTTCATGAAGCCATTTCCCTTAGATGAAGAGTGTGAGTTTATATAGCTGTGTTTAATAAAACACAGTACATAACAGCCTAAAAAGTTCTACCACCCACACTTTGACAGAATTCTGCAGAGCATGGTTTTCAATGTGCAGAAGCAAACACCAAGTGAAACAGTCAGCAAATGAGTTGTTATGATTAAACCCAACTTCAATGTTTGAAGCTTCAGCCCTCTACAGAATTTTGCCTAGTCCCAGACAACGATGATCTCAAAACTTCCAATGGATACTTCCATCTTCTATCTCTAAGAAAGCATTAATACTATTTTTTCTGAATCAAAGATCTTCCAATGAACCAAAGAATTAGCTTTTAATTGTTTAATCCTCAGACATATCTTAATAAAATGAGCTGAAACAGTGTTTCTGCATTTCCCATTTCAGAATTTTGCTTTTTAAGCCAAACTTCACAATTTACCACATACAATCTCAAAGACAAAAATCAAACTCATATAAACAACTAGGCTTTGTGCTGTATTTCATTAAATCCTTTACAAAGGATGTTACTGAATGGCAGTATGTCCAAAGTACCTTATAACTTGAATCAGCCTGCAAAGACTCACTGTTTTTGAATGATGTTCCTTAGCATCTGGAACAGAAGAGTCTTCTATTGTAAGGAGTCCTTGGCATTCGAAAGACAGAGTTAGCTCTTACAGTATCAACACCAAAACTTTTATGTTAATGTGTGAAGGGAATGGTAATATATGTATAGGATCCATCATTTTTCATAAGAATGGACTGGACAGGCTGAGGACAGAAGCTTCCAGTAACTCAGAAAATCTGACATAATTTGGACAGATTTCTGTGGTCTACCACATAACTGTGAGATCTATACATTGTTAACAGGAGTATTTTTACTCCCACACAGAACTGTTACTGTAAAAATGCTGATACGCTACCATGAGAAATCCAAAGTTTGATTTATCTTAGAAAAGGCAATAAAAGCAGACTTGACTAAAAGTATACCTTTATTTTCACTCAAGGTAATAACAAAGGGAAAAAAAAAAAAAGAGTGTTGAGGAAATTGTGTTCTCAACCTTCACAGGGAAGTGGAACCAGATGCAAGTTTTAGGAACACAGCACTTTGCTCCATATGCACCTGTGATACTGTAAGCAGCAATTACTTCTGTAATTACCATACAAGTAATACACCCCGATGTATGGTTAAACCTCTTGCAGCACCTTACCAGACGTACTGGAAGAACGTGGCTGGTGAATGTGGCAAAAAAGGTTAAGTCTTTGAAAACCAGATGTGTTGGACACACAAGTGCCCTGGTTTTGGCTGGGATAGAGTGAATTTTCTTCCCAGTAACTGGTATAGTGCTGTGGCTTGGATTTAGGATGAGAATAGTGTTGATAACACACTGATGTTCTAGTTGTTGGTGAGCAGTGCTTACACTAAGTCAAGGACTTTTCAGCTTCTCACTCTGTCCTGCCAGCAAGGAGGGTGGGTGGGGGTGCACAAGAAGCTGGAAGGGTACACAGCTCGGACAGCTGATCCCAACTGGCCAAAAGGATATTCCAATACCCCATGTTCATGCTGAACAATAAAACTGTGGGGAGTTGGCTGGGGCGGGGTGTGGCAGTTGCTCAGGGACTGTCTGGGCATCAGTCAGCAAGTGATGAGCAACTGCATTGTGCATCACTTGTTCTGTATATTCTTTTATCGTCATTATTATTATTTTCCCTTTCTTTTCTGTCCTATTACACTGCTTTTATCTCAATCCATGAGTTTTACCTCTCCCCACCCCGCCCCATTTCGCTTCCCCAGCCCACTGCGGGGGAGGAGTGAGCAAACAGCTGTGTGGTGCTTAGCTGCCCGCCAGGTTAAACCACAACTATTGTGTTCACATTTGAATTTCCAAGAATCCCTGAGCAATGTATATGTTCTAAGTTTTCATTATTTACATTCAAGGTACCTTTGAAGGCAGGTGCCTGGAAGGGTAAGGTTTGTACCTGCGTCTCAATTGGACTCTTCGCAAAAGGAGTCTTTGGAGCAGGAAGTGCAAAGGACATTTCATTTCTTAAAGCTGACTCTATATCAGCATTCTCTTTGTTTTCATGCTTCTTTGATGCCACTTTTTTTGTCACTGGAGTTGACACTGTGAGTTCTGTATAATCCACTTGAGCATCATGTCTTGAATGCTACAAGAGATGTAACAAATAAAGATACATCCTTTGTTGTATTCTAATCACATTCAGGAATGTTACAAACAAGGAAATTCTAAAATTGAAGCAGGTTAAAAATACCATACAATGCATGACTACTGAGCGAAACTGTCAATAACTCCTCAATATTTCTGATTCCTTCTATAAGTCGCTAATAAACATCTCAATTCATTTGCCATTTCTTTATCTGCTCTTCTAAATTTTTCAGCTTGAACATTTGAAACTACTCCTTATCTGCTTATTTAAACACAGCTAAGAATTTTCATTTGGTTTAACTGTATACTGTTAATTGCGTCATTGGATTTTCTTGTCCAATACAAACAGGTTGAACTTCTTAAAAAACTTGTCCAGCTCTAGCCTAGCTCTGAGATCTTATTTACTGTACCTTATTGTTTTCCCCTCAGTTTTAAAATCCTCATTGCCTCATTTACTCATTCCTTAGCTGCTGTTTTTATGCAAATCAGATGTCAGAGTTCAAGTTCTCATCAAATGAACCATGACCTACCACTACAGGAAGCTACAATTTATGTTCAGCAATGTATTTAAAACAGTTCTTTACTCAGTTTGTAACTCCCCTTGGCCAGGGTCCCTCAAACATTTAAATATGTAATAAGTTTTATGTACAATTATATTTTTTTTAAAGGAACTAGTATTTGCTCTTCAAACACCTGTTTTGTTCTGTGAGGATTTAGGAAAAATTCTTCTAATGGAGACTCTTCAAACAGTGAAGCTGCATCAGAAGATTCCATGGATCCAAATGCATGTGGCACTTCACTGCAGTCTGGCATATCTTCATATGTTATAGTTTTGTCAGACTGAAAAGAAAGATTCAATTGAGATTCCGTTGCACAAATACAAGGAAGATTTCATCAGAAAAGTGTCATTAAAATCTAAATCTTATTTCTCTTTAAGTTCTAATTATGTGTAACAGCTAATGGAATTTCCCATGCTAGTGACCCAAGTTTTAGAATGTGACTTTAATATCGTCATTGTGGATTTGTCATTTGTATCAAAAGCAGATGTGATTCTCAAAGCACCATTACTATCTCATCTTTCATGACCTGTGTCAAGAACAGAAGCAACTCACAAAAAATACCTGGCTTTGATTTCAAGACTTGGACCGCAGGCTCTTTTTACCAAAAGCCAAATAATAAGCTGGAAAGAACTCAAGAAAAGAATGCAGTAAAGTCTGCAAGGTGGCTGGATAAAGGTAAACACATTACATCCAAAACTTATGATTATGGAATCTGCAACAGTACTTGAACTAGTAATCAGAACCCTTAATCTAATTGCTAGCCCCCAAAGAAGTTATTTATTAAATCACAGTATTCACAACTTCAGCCAAGATGGCTAACTTTCACGGTTCACACCACACCACATATAGTCAGTTGTGTATCACAGTATCCTTAGTTTCTAACACACCTTTTGCTATTTCCAGGAAACTCTTCCCAAGGACTTGTTTCATACCACTTCAGTGATACAGTTATTTTAAATTGTCAGTCCTCACTGGAATGGATACCATTTTAGGAAGCTACGTTCTGCTGGCAGGTAAATTTATCTTGGCCTATCATCAAGGCTATTGCAATGATCAGATCTGTCATTCAACAGAAACAGAGCTTCCTGGTGTGCTACCAGACCTACTATGATAACTTACTAGAAAGCCCTTACCAGAGAGCTGCTAGCTACAGCCAGGAAGCTAAGAGCCTGATATTGTACTTGAAACCATGTTCCATTACAATATGAATGCCCAAATAGGATTGCTTGGCTACCATGTTCCAGATGAAGTTCATGCCATGGTGAATTTTTTGGAATATCCTTCTACATCAAGTTGCTTGAAATAAGACAGTATTATGTGCAAGCTCATGACAGGAAATTCAGAAAGTAAGTCAAAGCTTCTTTTTGCTTTGTTGCCTTCACATTAGACCAGCTGTAGCTAAAGAACTTTGCTAGTTGGGTATTTCAGCAAATTCAGTTGATGCTCACTCATAGTATCTACATGCAGGTAAGTTAAATGTGTCCTGAGTGCTGCAGGAGTACTAATGGATTGTTGTGTTGTGTAGACATGATTTTCACAATCACCTGTGAAGGCATAATGCACATGCTAGATAGTAGCATTAGCCAGATCAGTTTACCTGGGATGCCACTGGAGATGAAATAATTTCACAGCATCAGCATTACTGAACCTAGAGAATCTCCACCTTAAAACCATCTGAGTGTAGAAGACTAACCCACCATGATCATGGAAATCACATTATGCATATTCAGCAACACTTATGATTCATGAGCTATTATGCAGCACTGGTAATCTCAGAATTCTCACCTGTGTTTCAAAGCAGTTGTATGAGTGAACTGCAATGATTTACAGGCAATTGAATCAGATACATAAAAAGTATTTATTCGGAGTGTTTGTCTCAATGCGGAGAATAGCACATTCAGATAACTAGCTAACAACTTTACACAGGTATCTGCAGTTCGAGAGGGAATGGCTAACAGGAAGTCTGCAATTTTACCAAATGCTTTTGAGTTTGTCAACAGAGATTAGTATCACCAATATCACATATAACTGCACATCATATATGACATGGCAAGCAATTTAGCAACTTCAGACAAGTTCTGAAGTGCCTTATTGGCACTTTGCTGTCAAACCTCAGGAATGGAAATTACCATAAGATTTATAAAACCACTTGCGAATCCAATTCATCAGAAAAACATCAACAACGCATTTCCTTTACTCAAAATAAACAGAATCCTCTCTGGGATTGTTTTCTAAAACAACAAGCAAGGTACAAAAATATTTAGAGGCAAACATGAAAGACTGCAGTAAGAAGTTAGGCATCACAGAGGAAAATCTGGAACAATCACATAGGCCATACAGTGTACGATTTCACTCCATTTCTGTGAGTAGCCAAGGGGAGATTCTGTGCCATACTCATAATGCACCATGTCCTCCCAGATACTTGTTCTAGTAATGTCAGTTCACCAGGAAACGTTGTGTCTACACAACACAACAATCCATTAGTCCTGTTTTAGCAGCCCAGCTTACTGAAACATATTAATGAGGAGACTGAGCTGTTTAATGACCAAGACTTTGGGTGACTGCATACATGTTCTCTTACTGATATTTAGGGCACCAGTCTGTTTTCCCAGGCAAAGTTTATTACTGCAGAGCAGCATTTTAATCAGTATGTTGTCCTGTTGAGTTCAAAACCTTACCTCGAGGTCTGCTGATTGTGTTGTACTGGCTTGCCCTGGAATCCTTAAACAAACTGGCTTGCCACGAGCCTTCTGGGATTGAAGCAAAAGATATGTCACTGACATTTGGTCATATTTCCACTAGGAGGAAAAAAAAAAAAAAAAGAAGAGTATTTTAATCTTCTCCTTGGATAAATTGTAAGTACAAAGCAAGTTTAGCCTTCTGAAAATTTCTGCATTTCTGCAAGTTTTTCTACCTGACGTGCACCCCTAATATTTGATCATCTAAGTGTAATTTCAGACTTCAGTTGATTCAAATTATGTGTTTGAGATCAAGAAACAGACAATGGCTGTTGTTCTTTGCAAGTTAGTTGGTAGTACTCTTACTAGCATGAAAACTGACACTGGAATATCTCATCTGAACTGAATGGCAAAGCTATTAATTCAGTTCAGCCAACATTTCAACTACAGTCTCAATTTTATTTTTTTTTTTAATCCCCCTCCCCATTCTTTCCCCATGAGCGCATCAACTTTTTGCATAATTTTCAGCACCTGTGCTTGTGTGAGGAACACGGGTATGACGCTTGACAGGCTTGCAGCATAGTCAGAAGTCTTCCAATAAAGGACTATGCAAATGCCACAAACCTATTTGGAAGTACCTGTCCCCATGTAGAAAGATTTTTCAGATTATTTCCTCCAAGTGAAGAACAAGTAGTATTAACTCAACAAATCCATCTTAAGTATAACACACATTTTAAGTCTGTTTCTACTACAGTTCTGTGGAAAACCTAACAGTTTTTCCAATGCAAAGTACTATGTCACTGCTACTGTGTACAAAGAAGCAAAAAACTAAGTTTCCATGGGAGAATTTTCAGATTCAGGTTAAAGCTGGAATACTCATCATGTTTTAAGTCTCTTCTACATCTTGCGATGTCATTGCTAACATTTGTATAATTATTCTAGAAGCAGTCAGTTCACCTTCTGTCATTTGTATTAAAAAGTGACTAAACATACTTTTTTAAAAAACTGTGAGTAGTAACTCCAAAAAATGTATATTATAGTCTGTCTGGGTGATGCTCTGATATTTTTCTCTTTCTCCTTTTTTTTCCCCTCTTACTTACCGAACCATTTCAAAACAAAGAGTTAGCCCAGCAAATGGCATCTATGGATCAACTATAAATTCCTGTAAGTCTCGTTAGACTATAAGAGATTCAGAAGGGTTTTAAAAACATGGTGGGAAAGAACAGTAAGGTTTAGGAAACATCACAAGTACAATTAAAAGAGGAAAAGAAAGAATAAAAATTTGAACTTCAGAACTGTAGTTATAAGCTACAGCTAGATTCTGGAGTTCTGCAGGGGCTCTGTAAATCTGAAAAATATTAAAAACTTCATACTGAGACATAGTGAGCATTAGCCTGTCAATACAGTAAGTTTATTTACTCTATTATTGTATTTAATTACTGGAAAAGACTGATATATTTCTTACCTCTGATATTAATTCCAATATATTCTCCTTGCTCTGTTTATGAAACACAGAAAGCTGTTATGCAGTCTTCATCAAGATGTCCCAGCTGCAAAAACATGACAGATACTGAAGCATAAGGCTTTAAGGTTGTCTCATAATCCATATCTGACCATGACACTGTCGTGAAACCCAGTGGGCTGAATCAATAATCAACCATGATTTTAGACTGTGTATTTTTAATAGTTAGCATCATAGCTAAGTGTTGTAGGGAACTGAGTGAAAAAGGCAGACAACTTCAACAACTTAGTCTGTCCCCTCCTTGGTGAGAGGCTGTGAATTCAAATAAGAAAGCCTTGACAGCAGATGAAATTTTTTCTAGAGTGGAAGCTACCCTTTCACCTCTACATAAATATTCAAAGCTATCAGACAAGCACTTCTTTTCTAGAGCCAGTTGGAACAGAGGCTGCAAGCACACTAAAGCTGTTTGTTTGGTGGTTTTTGGTTTTTTTTTTTAGAGAAACAGTGCCATCTAGCGGCCCAAGGCAAGCATCGGCTGCAAACATGACAGCTAGATTATTCTATTGTTTTCCCTCTCCATACTACCTTAGTCTCTCACACAAGTAAAACAAGCATTAGAGAGACAGGACAAACACACTTTCGATAAGGTCAAATTTTTATTCGACCTAGAAATTTTCAGTGAGGACTACATACAAGATAAACCATAATCATGTCTAACATGCTCTCCAGAATATTTGCATTTTGGACCTTAGGTAAGGTAGTGACCAAGCAGCCTGCGGAATCAACTTCACATTTGATGAGAAGACAGGTATTTCACAAATTCAGCATCAGCTGCAGAATACAATGAAAACACATTTGAAATTCCTCTTCAAGAGAAATTGAAAGTAATAACATTTTGGCAGCAGGAAGAATCAGAAAGGAACCATGGACATTGTGAAGTTCATCTTTGGAGAAGTGTCTTCACACTCCCATACTGTGAGGACAGGTAGTAAGCTAGTAAGTATTACATTAAATACCTGAGTATCCATCTGACAAGTGTACTTACTGGGTATCTACTTTGCCACTGAACAGCATCAGAATAACCTTGCATGAGCCACGGGTGATTTAATAGATGTTTAACCGTAATCCACTCCTTTGGGTCCACCTAGTGGGCAATACAAATCAAGCTGACACTCGAATCACGGAGAAGAACTGAAGAAACAATTTGTCTTCTACTCAGAATTTTAGGGTGGTTAGAACCTCAAATGGAAACCAATACTCTTTCACAGCTTCACCAAAGGGAAGGTCAAACACATGAGCTGTGAAGAGCAGTTATAGGACCTAAAGTTATAGGACCTAAAGTTACAATAAACGTTCCAGGAATATTTAGCATGGCCCAGATTGCTTAGATGTAGCCCAAATGCATATTCAGTATGTTTAGCTTCATTTATAAAACCGTTCTTATTTACGTAGCACAATTAAGAACAACCAAATGCAGGCTGCTTGAAGACTCTGCTTAATTATTTAAACTTTGCTTAGTTATTTCCATACCCAATTATTCATCTCAAAGCATAGCAGGAGGCAATATTAATCTGTCCTTCAAAAATTTCTAAGAATTAAACCTCTCCCTCTGCCCGCCTGCACTCTGCCCAGCTCTCTGCCCCCTCGGGACCCCCCTGCTCCTGCTGCGCTCCCCCCACCACGCACACCTCCTTCCCCATGCCCCACGCCCTTCTTTCTGCTCCACTGCCTGCTCTGCCCCTTCTGCTTTCTGGTGCAGGCTTTTCCTCCTGCGCTCGGCCCTGCTGGCCATGCTCTGCTCCGCTTGCCTCCAGGAGAGGAAGCGAGCTTCTTTGGGAAGCTGAGGGGAGGAAGCAAGAGTCCTTCCCTCTTCCATTGGGTTTTCCTAAGCAGGAAGAGGGGCAGGAGATGGCTGCCCCCACCCCTCTGCCTGCCTGGAGGCTTTCCCGCCCCTGGAAAAGGCGCTGGCTGCCTCCCCAGCTCAGCACAACTCCCCCTCCGCTCGCCCCGTGCAGCTTCCCCCAGCTCCAGCGCCTCCCCTGAAGCCTGACCCACACCCACAGGCAGCCCCCAAGCCCTGTCCTTACAGCAGCAAGCTGGTCCTTGAAAATGCTTTTTTCTCCATAAATGCCGGGAGGGTGCAGTGTCTCCAGGAGCTCCTGCAGAAGGAGGGGTCCTGTCTGAGGAGAGCTGCGGTCATCACTGTGGGTAATGGCTTCTTGTTCTTTCCCTCTCCCAGGGGCAGCACTGAGGACTCAGAACTTGTCAGTTCCTCTCCGGGGATGTTGTTGGCTGCATCTGGCTCGGGTTTACGTGGGCTCCCTCTGCCTCATTCTCCTGGCAGCATGTGCAAAAAGGAAAAGCTGGGGCACTGGGGGCTCCCTCTGCCTCATTCTCCTGGCAGCATGTGCAAAAAGGAACAGCTGGAGCACTGGGTGACCGTGGACAGGAGCTGCCATGGCTGAAGCTGGAGAGGGTGAGTTTGTTGATCAAGCAACACTTGATATTCTTGCTGTTGGTCTTCACTTTAATTAATTTCCCCAGCATTCCCTCATGAAAAAAAATAATCATTTTTTCAGTCTCTAACATTTTTTTTTTCCCCCAAGGAAGGGGAAACAAACCTGTGAGTCAATAAAATTGACTTATGGTAAGTAAAATCATATGAAAATGACACTAGTCTTACAGATCTGGACTGTTTCTGAACATGTGCTCATCATGATACGAATCATCTGCATTTCATTCTCTGACAAAATACTATGCCGAGACAGGGATGAGCTCCAAAAGAAAGAAAAGATACAAGGTCATGGGTTTGTTTTGTTGTTGTTTGCTTGAGGTTTGTTTTGTGTGGAGGTTTGTATTTCGAGTTGTTGTTTTTTTCCTGAGACCAATGTTGTCTGGTGGTGGTGTGCAGAGCTCTTTTGCTGCCTGACCTATGCTTCTCAGTCAAAAGCTAGAAGGAACCTTAAGCAGGTTTGATGGCACAACTGCAATTTTAAAAGACCTTGGCTGTTTGAAGAAATGGCTTGGAGGACAGAATTCCATTTTTGCAACAAGTTCACAAAGACAGATGGGTTGCTGTACCCTTTAACAAAAAGGCTCAACTTGGGACATATAGGATAAGGAAATCTTGGCTGTACTTAGGCTTGAGAAAATGTCCCTAGGTATCTGTGCCTGTCATCTGCATGCATCTAGGAAGGTGAGCTCTAGTGAAACTAAAGCTGATGATGAGTCCAAAAAAAAAAAAAAAGGCACAGTTGACTAAAAAATGCAAAAGCTCTAGTGACCTGTGCCGATAGCTGTACCAAAGATGATGCAAGACAAAATACTTTTTCCTCCACTCAGGTGTAGTCTTCAGGAAAAAAAAGAAGCTTTAGATTCCTACCCAACTTCATGCTAAGGGTTTTTTTCCTTTCACAGCTGGATGTCAATTACCACGATGGCCTTGAGCTCCAGCAGCTACTAATAATATTAGTACTTTTATCGTTGTTCTTCTCATAACAAGTCTTACACTGAAAATTAACTATCCTAGCAAAACCAAGACAACTTCCAATTTTATTTCCCAAGCGAGCAAGGTGTGCAGCCACAGCAGCAGCGCAAGGGCTGTCGCTGTTGCACTGGATACGTCGGTGTATTTGCTGACAACGGTCCAACCTTGTCCTGCAGCCTCACAGGGCGGTCTCCCTGCAGC